CGTATGATCCGATTCAAATGCAATGCAAATATGAGTCTAATTTTCGACGTTTTCATCCACGTCAACGAGTGTTGGTGGAAAACAATTGTCCGGGCTGTGCAAGAGAAAATATCATTGTGTGCTTTTGTCGATGCACCGGCTGGAACAAGAAAAACTTTTTGCATTGAAACGATTTTGGCGGGCGTTAGGTCGCATTCTGCTATTGCGCTGACAGTCGCGTCCAGTGGCATAGCGGCAACTCTTTTAACAGGGGGTCAAACGTTTCACTCACGAATTCCTGCACCTTTGAAATCCGATAACACGCGTCCCTTCTTGATTCCGAAACAAAGTGATCTTGCGGAGTTTATCCGCCGTACGGACTTGATTGTTTGAGACGAGGCTCCAATGAGTAAACATGTTTCACTTGGAAGTTATTGACATTACGGATCTTTGTAACAATGATGAGTCATTTGGTGGAAAAATTATACTTCTAGTTGGGGATTTTAAACAGATTTTGCCCGTTGTGAAACACGAATCGCTAGCACAACAAATTGATGCGTCCATGAAAATATTTCCTTTGTGAAAACTTTTTGAGGTTCATCAACTGACCGAAAATATGCGAATCTTAAGCTTAGGGAATGATGAAATGGCACGAATGGATGCCCACTTTTTAATTTATATTGGGAATGGTAACCATCCTCGTGTTGTTCCTAATGAATCTACTGCGGTCAGATTGCAACGTGAGATTTGTACGGATAAACCAATTGATAAGTTGATTTCATTGACGTTTTATGATGTGTCCTACCATGCGAGGGATGCTGAGTATTTCTTGCCTCGATTAATTCTATGCCCTACTAATGACGATGTCGGTTTTGTTAACAACTGTGTTCTTCACGACTTCCCTTGGAGGTGCATGACCTTTAGTTGATTATCCTGATTTAGATGATACCGGACTTGATATTGAGCGGGAGTTCTTAAGCTCTCTCGACAAATCTAACCTTCCACCTTACAAATTGCACTTAAAAATTAGTGCGTCTGTGATGCTTTGCAAAATTTTTCACTAAAGCAAGAACTTTGCAACGATACAAGGTTGATTCTTAAGAAGATCGTTAATATTGATTTGTTGGAAGTGACAACAATGCACACGGGTAAAACAACACTGATCCCCAAGATTGATCTGACAAGCGATGGTGAGACAACTGGGTTCAAATGGTTTATGAGGTAATTTTTAGTTCGTCTTGCTTTTGCTGTAACGATTAACAAGTCGCAAGGACAAACCGTATCGTGTGTCGGGGTTTGGCTACACAAACCGGTTTTTGCATATGGTCAATTGTACGTTGCTTTGTTTCGTGTTGACCATCCCAATAACATCTATGTTGCGTTGTTTGATAATAATTTTTTAACGAAGAGTATTGTATATCATGAACTTTTTGGACGAGTCCTTCTTTTTTTTTTCCATCGAGTCTTGGCATTTCAAATAATTCTGTCATATTCTTTCTTTGCAGGCGACTCTCAAATGCCGCATAAGTACGACACTTGTGCTAAGAGAAAAGCAATGGAAACCAGCAATACCACTCAATATGATACGAATGTTACGTCAAAAGTTGGAGCAGAACACTCGGAGAGGTCGAAGAAAAATTGAAATGATGAGAGGTCGGTGAATCTTGGAAGTGAACATCCTCGGAACGATCATCCTATTCCTGGTGAGGTTGAACGTCGATGTTCGCAAGGGAATACCCTTGATGATGCTGAAAACATGGTTGTGGAGAGGAGTGGTGACGATTATCGTGCTGATGGGGATGGTTCGCGTAGAGGTTAGTCAGGTAGGCCTATTAACCTTACATTTGTCGATGATGAGGATAATAACGTTACGGGTGATTCGAAAGAAGACTGTGTTGGATCTACATTCAAGAGGATAAAAATTCATGGTGCGAAAACTAATCTTTTGGATTCCTCCGAAATGTCGGAGCCTACCTTGGCTGATAATCAGGTGGGAGACCTGTTATTGATGAAACGGGAACTCAAATTATGAGAGCGCTGAATGCGCTCTTTGATGATGCAAAAAATATTTTTCGTTTTATGCACCGCTCGCTGGACGTGCATGTGTTCATGATTCGTGTTCGCAATCTTAATACAGTGGACGTGAAAGAGATGTTTGTGCCCCATCGCAACCACAAAATCCTTCGGAGGTTATTATGGTGCCCGATGATAACGATGCACCCACAATCCGCACTCCGAATCCTCTCGCTTACCCTGCTAGATGGTTTGACGATGCGAAAAAGGTTGACATCCAAAATGTTTTGACCGAGGTGCGTTTTGAAATGTTTGTGAAAAGTGCTACAGTCGCAAAAAATGAACGAATATGGGAAAACTTCCTACAGTGGAAAAAAAACAAACTCACATATATGCGGTTGGAACGACGATTTCCTCTTCCTTCAGACCCGTTGAATGTTTCGGATTTTGAGGCTTCTTCCATATTGCAATCACTTTTGACCGATGAGTTCATGACTCTCTCTAATGAGGAGATTACTAAGATGACATTAAATTTGCCACATTGTCCGACAAAAAGGACCATTCCCCAACCCTTTCATAGATATACACGGATACAGCAGCTTCTCAAAAGGATTCCTCTTATGGTTACTTTTTTCATTCCTCATTCCGCTCCGTTTCGTAGACTCCCCCTTCATGGATATTGAATTTTCAATGTCTTGCGATTATGCTTCACCCTTCAATATGTCAACGTCGGTTGTCACTACTTCTATTGTTGTTTCTACTTTGCCGGCTGCTACGGTTACTCCGTCTCCTGTCATTTGTGTTGTGTCCGCTCATACGCCATCAAAATATCATCTGCATGTCCATACAGGGTCATTAGAATAACCAAGTTCTTCTAATTTGAACATTATCATGTATGACTTTGTTGAATCTATTGGTCCGAAAAAGACACTTGCGCAACTGTCCTATCTTGACAGTTTTTTACAGGGTGCAAGATATTGTGGAAGCAGCAGCGGAATTGAATACGAGTATGAACACTTGGAGATGTGTGGATGTTGCAATTCATCTCAATTAAAATCGGCAAAGATAAACTCGATTCCAAATTTTCGAGGAGTATCGTCGCAAAGTGTTGTAACGAGTTTCTGTTCGTGAGGTGTTGCAAAAGTATCACTCCAGTGAAGGAAGTTGATTGGTCTTACAAGACAGATAGGAAGACAAAAATGTTGATTGAGCGGTTGTCCAAGCGTTGCCTTTATGACAAATTTTTAGATGATCGTCTTTGGTTTCAGTTACGTAATTGCCCCTACAAGAGAGATATGAAGGGAAAGACAAATAAATAAGGGGGGAGAGAGAGAGAGAGAGAAAGAGAGAGGAAAAAAAAAAAAAAAAAAAAAAAAAAAACTGAAATAATTTTGACATAATATT